AGCCCAGTGTGGCTACTCCGAATGCCAGCACTGTGTCTTCCCAAGTGGAAGGAAAGAACACTCAGCACTTCATTTCCTCAAGGGGCCTCCTAAGACTCCATGCAGACAAGTCACCGTCCTCAGTGAAGAACTCAGACTGTGAGTCCTGCAGGGAGAAGACTCTGTTGAAGGCAGTCACTGGCTTGCCAGCAAATAGTGTTTTAGGTCAGGTCAGTGGTCGAAGACCGAGGACAGCACCTCATGCCTTTCTCATGACGTTCAGGCGGGGAGAGCCAGAGTCCAGGAGAGAGTGGTCACTTTGAGCAACCATAAGAGAAAACGCTTTTGTTATGGCTGCTACCAAGGGCTGGAGTGCTGCAGGAATGAGGGCTCCTGATTCCAAGAAAAGCCGACCTTAACCAACATCGAAGAATAGAAGTGTCTCCTCTTACGATGTATGAGAAATTATCCGCAATGAGATTTCTGTATAGGGTTCTCAGATCAAAAAGCAAAGTCTGTACGCGAAGAAAAGCCCAGCGAAGCCGGGTACAGAAAGTCACTGGAGACCATCAAGAGACCCTTAGGGATACCGTGGGGGCCTGCAGTTGCAGCCCACCCCCTTCCCCAGCACCTAGAGACTTAGTCCGCAACCAAGGGAGCCGGGAGTGGCGTGGATGGGCCTGTTTCCCGTCAGACTGTGGAGCCCAGAACGGGGAGATAGAGGAGCAGGGGTGCTCAAGCAGAACATCCTTGCTCCGAGCTGCTGGAGCGCCTGTACTGTAAGATCTGCTCGAAGCACCTCTGAATGCAGTGAGCCCAAGCTAGAGAGTCCCTTTCGAGAACAGTGAGAGGCGGCACCCATGGGTGACGAGCTGCTGTCCATTTGTCTTTCTGGATTCCTAAAGGAGGTTATGAAAAACTATGGCAGTTTGGTCCCACTTAGTGAAAAAGACATCCTTGAAAGATTAAAAGATGTCTTTAATGAAGACTTTTCTTTTTTAAAAAAAGTTTAATGAAGACTTTTCTAATAGAAAACCATTTATTAATAGGGAAATAACAAACTATTGGGCCAGACATCAAAAATGCAACTCCTGCATCTTGTACAATAAGCACATGCTGGCTGTGGACGGTCAGAACTGGCTGAGTGACCAGGTCATTGACATGTAAGGCTGATAATGGATGCAGTCCCAGATAAAGTTCCTTCTTCAACAGCTTCTTCATGGACAGCTGGTAACCAAAGGATATAGCGGAGTTAAGAGATGAACTGAAAAGGTGGATTTGTTGAAAAAGAGTCTTCTGTCGATTCCTGTTCACCTGGAAATCCACTGGTCTCTCATTACAGTAACAGTCTCTAATCGAATCATTTCATTTCATGGTTCGTTTTAAGTTTTGCGTAGAGAATCTAAGAAAGTATTTGCTGACTGACCTCAGAGAAAAAAACAGACCTGAGTTTCTTCAGGGTGGGCAGACTGCTGTTGGGGAGTGTACTCCAAGCAGGACAGTGACAGTGACTGCAAGTGCCTGGCCTCAGAGCAGCCTTTCCAGTTTCCGCAGAAGACGTGCCGCGCATGCAAGCGGGTCTGCAAGGCGCCTTGCAAGTGCCGGCCCCGGACTGACGCTGCCAAGGACTCACGAAGTCTGACCAAGTTGGAGTGGTGCTTTGTTACTTGAATCTCCACTTACTTGGATTTTTACAGATGTTCAAATCAGTAGTATTGGGTCATTATTGTTACCTCCAATTTGTTTTTGCCCTTATTCATTTCTCCAGCTACCATGTACTTTGTTAATGTCCATTTCGGTTTCCTTTTTAATTTTTGGGTTCTGCGTGTCCCTCCCATATTTAATATTTATGATCTAAATGCATGCCTACAGACAGAGCATGCAGTGAAGAGTATTTAAAAAGTCTAGTAGGTTTGGTGCTACTTTTGAAACTTAGTTAGAAGTGAACTGAATACAGGTTTAAATTTTAATCCCAGAACCTAAAAGATGCAAGGTGTTTTTGATACAGCATAACTCAGAGTAGGACGTGCTTCCTGGGGCATAAGGGGTAGCCGGGAGTGTCCTGACGGAGCCCGCCCCATTTACTTTGCCAGCCGCACTCTGGCTGACTTCCCCTGAGGGGCCAGGCTGCAGCTGTGAACAGGCAGGCGGCTGTCAGAGCTCAGGCTCCTGGCAGCACAGCGCCTGCTTGGGGAGCGTCAGGGCCTGAGCAGAAAGCAGCGTCCTGGGTGCCAGTTATCTTAACAAATGAGATTTTAGCCTTGCTCTTGGGAATTACAGTCCATAGCTCATAAAGGCCTTTGCTGGGACATTGAAGTCCCTGGATTTTTGGTTTTGACCTGTGAAAAAATTTAGCAACCATCGAACTAGTGGTCAAATGAGAATTCAACCTTTCTGGAAGTAATTTGCAAGTTGTCACTTCCCTTATGTGGCCTTCCGTGTGGAAGAAATTAAAATTTACCAACTACATTTCTGTCTGAAATATAGACATTCAAAACCATAGTCTAACCAGGTCTTTTGCAGGTGGGCAGAGAGGAAGGGAGGTAATAGTTTGGTTCCCTGGGAGATATCTTAGAAATGTCTCCCTCCTCCTCTCTCTTCAGTGACCTCAGCAACATGCAAGGCTTGTGTGGCTTCTGCCCACCCAGTCCTAACTTTCTAGCACGGGAGTTGCTTCTTTCTTGCTAATGAAATTCTTCTCCTGGGACAGGCCCTAAAGTGGCCCGTCAAAATACTTAGCTGCATTAGGATGAAAGCAGTGAATCTTCCACCTGTAATCTGGCCTTTTGTGACATATTGAAAAGGAAAGGAAATGTGGAAAGATTCATAGTAAATTTACCCAATTATCTTTTCTGATCTGGGGAAGTAAAATGTTTTTTGGGGGGTTTTTTTTGGTACCGGGGATCGAACTCGGGCCCTTGCGCTTGTGGGGCAGGCAGCAGCACCACTGAGCTAAATCCTCTGCCCCCAAATGTATTTTTTTAATATTAAAAAAAAGAAAAGAAAAAGGGCTAAGGGTGTCTGGGTGTGGTGGCTCACACCTATAATCCCTGGACTCGGTGGCAGGCTGAGGCAGGAGGAGTGTTACAAGTTTGAAGCCAGCCTGGGCCAGAGTGAGTTCAAGGCCAGGCTAGACTGCAGAGCGAGACCGGAGCCCTAGGAGCAGTGAGGACCCTGGGCCCAGATCAGGGCTCCTTGGAGCAGCTAAGGACCCTAGGCCTGGTGTGGGACAGGGACAGCAAGGATGAGCCAGTCTGGCCGGAGGGGGTGCCCTGGACACGTTTGGGGGAAACTCAGCTGACTGGGCTGCAGCGGTAAGGGACAGGGACATGTGGAAATCCACGGCCATGCCAGGGGGCGGGCAGGAGGGAGGAGAGGGGTCCAGGAGTGGCAGCTGGGCAGGCGGTGTAGATGGGCAGTGGGGCTCAGAGTGCTCTGCCGCCCCCTGTGGAATGACTGACCCGGGTAGGTGCGTGGGGGCTGAGTCCACTGGCCAGTGCTCTTGGGAGCAGTCACGGGTCCCCACGCACAGGGGACATGGCTTCCCCGAGGAGCCCTGCCCGGCTGGCTGACCTCAGTCTGATCGTGGGGAGGAGGACAAACCCGCCCTGGGGACTCTGTGCAAACCCCCAGAACCAGCGCTGGGGAAACCGAGCCCCATTCCTGCCTGGCCACACAGCGAGACCCCTCTCCAGGAAAAAGAATGGAAGAGGTGATAGTCGGATGCAACCATGGTCCTTGCTTAGGTGCTGGGCCCTAAAACACAAAAGTGCAAAGGACCCTGGGGACGGTCATGACCCTCTGAATGTGGGCTGCCAGGAAGAGGTTAAATTTCTTGGTGACTGTGGCCCGGCACTGAGCGGAACGCGTCCTGGGAAATACAGGAAGAAGCATGGAGGGGATCACGGCCTGTGGGCGGCTGGCAGGCACCTCTACCCTGGAGCTTCCAGCCTGGCCCGCCCCGCCCCGCCCCGCCCCACCGCGCTGCTGCTGCTCCGGGGCTTCTTTCCCCTTCTCAGAGTCCTCGGCCTGGGGCCCCGGAGTCAGTGGGGCCACAAGGGCTCTCCTGGCACCAAGCGCTGGTTTCTCGTCCCTCCTGCACTGGGGGCCGGGCCAGGGCTGCAGGTCCACGCCGAGTCCGGGTGACCCTGATGCTCCTAGGCCACAGGGTCCCCAGCCTCACCCCTGCTGTGATCCAGGAGGAGGTCATCCTTCAACTCCAAACCGCAGAGTCCTGCCTGCTGGAGTCTCCTGCAGCAAGTCTCTAGTCCCCACCCACCCAGTGTGCGCCTCAAGGTTGAAGAAAAACTCAAGACAGTTGAAGAGAAAGTGAACTGGGACGGCCAATGCTCTTTTGGCAAAAGGAACTGGCCCATCTCTGCCACCGAATTTTATTCTTCATCAATCAGGGTAAAAGGTGCAATACGTGAAATCACCATGGAAACTAATGCAGGCAGGGCTTTAAAGAGAAGTCAAAGCATTTTCAAATTAGAAGCAAGATAGACAAAATGTGTGGTTGTAATTAGAGCATTGTCCTTCAAGCTATGAAAGCACTAATTTCGGGAACAGAGCTTGGGTGCGATGACTCGGACCTCAGCTGCGGATGTTACCTCGTATCAGCCGCACAGCTCCATACGCCATGGGGGGGGCCGTGCTAAACTGTGTTACACTGCACGCTGCCGCAGTGCCCGTGAGGTGGTTCTGTGAGTCACGTAGCTTCGGTCAGACTCGCTCCTAAAGTAAGCCAGTGGAGGGTTAGCTCTGCAGCCTGCACTGCTACAGCACGCTTTGGGCATAGTCACAGAGGGGGCTCGGGCACCTGGGAGCTGAGGACAGTGCGATTCCGGTGACCCTCCGCAGGGGACAGGGGAAGTCGGTCCTTGGCTTCCCCAGGCCCTCGGGAGCGAGGGCGCGGTGGGCTCTGTGTGCCGCGGGGTGGAGGGAGGACTGGGAGGTGGTGACGCCCAGTGCCCTGCAGGGTGCGGGCTCCACGGCCCCGCCTCACCGCCCGCCCGCCCCAGGCCCATGAGCGGCTGGAGGAGACGAAGCTGGAGGCTGTGCGCGCCAACAACCTGGAGCTGGTGCGGGAGATCCTGCGGGACCTGGCGCAGCTGGTGGAGCACAGCGGCCCGGCGGCCGAGCTGGCGCACATCCTGCAGGAGCCGCACTTCCAGGTGGGCTGCAGGGAGGCTGGGCTGCTGACGGCGGGCGCTGGGGCTCGACCCCACGTCCTTCCTCTTCCCCGACTCAGTCCCTCCTGGAGACCCATGACTCAGTGGCCGCCAAGACCTACGAGACGCCGCCGCCCAGCCCGGGCCTGGACCCCGCGTTCGGCAGCCAGCCGGTGCCGCCCGACGCTGTGCGCATGGTGGGCATCCGCAAGACGGCCGGAGAGCACCTGGTGCGGCCCGGGGAGAGGGGCCCGGGGAGAGAGGCCGGGGCCCGGGGAGGGCCCTGTGGGGTTGCGACGCCGGGTGGGGTCCTGCAGCCCGCGCTCAGCTCACTCCCCGCCAGGGCGTGACCTTCCGCGTGGAAGGCGGCGAGCTGGTCATCGCGCGCATCCTGCACGGCGGCATGGTGGCGCAGCAGGGCCTGCTGCATGTGGGCGACGTCATCAAGGAGGCCAACGGGCAGCCGGTGGGCAGCGACCCGCGCGCCCTGCAGGAGCTGCTGCGAAGCGCTAGTGGCAGTGTCGTCCTCAAGATCCTGCCCAGCTACCAGGAGCCACACCTGCCGCGCCAGGTGTGCCCGCCCGCCGGCCAGGCCCTGCTCCCGGAAACCCTGTCCGGCCCGTCGGCCTGAGGCTGAGTGGTGGCCATCCGCAGCCACCCGTGACCTCCACATGTGCTGCCACGTGTGCCCGCCTCAGGGTGAGGCCCCGTGTCTGTGCCAAGGGGCTGTGCGTGTCCCCACCCTGCACTGAGTGCTGCCTCCTGCCAGTCTGCATGGGGGGCAGTGCGGGGGTCACATCCCTGGCAGCTGCCGCCTGGCTGGGGGCTCTAGGGGTCCGGCTGACTCCCCGGCTCCCATCTCTCTCAGCCAGAGCCCCCTCCCCAGGGCGCCTGCCTCCCGGTCTGGGCAGCTCCCCACCGCCCCGTCTGAGCCCCTCAGGCCCAGATGCCAAGGGAGCCTGGGGCCAGGCCGGGCGGGTCTGGGGGCAGGGGTGGCCTGCAGCACCGTCCTCTTCCCCCTGCCTTGACCCTGCCGCTCCGCTCCCTCCGGGGCCAGGTGTTTGTGAAATGCCACTTTGACTACGACCCGGCCCGCGACAGCCTCATCCCCTGCAAGGAGGCCGGGTTGCGCTTCAGCGCCGGGGACCTGCTGCAGATAGTGAACCAGGACGACGCCAACTGGTGGCAGGTGGGGTTCGTGCGGTGGGCGCAGGGCGGGCGGGGCGCGGTGGACCTCGGCAGCACACCCCTGTCCCTGCAGGCTTGCCACGTGGAGGGGGGCAGCGCCGGGCTCATCCCCAGCCAGCTGCTGGAGGAGAAGCGCAAGGCGTTCGTCAAGCGCGACCTGGAGCTGACCCCGACCTCAGGTAGGGAGACCGGGACTCCAGACCCCATCTAGGAACAGCCCGGCCTCCCCGCCTCCCCGCCTCCCCGCCTCGCCTCGCCTCGCCTCGCCTCGCCTCGCTCACCACGTCTCCCCGCGGCCAGGGACCCTGTGCGGCAGCCTCTCGGGGAAGAAAAAGAAGCGGATGATGTATCTGACCACCAAGAACGCAGGTGGGTGTGGGCGCCCCGGTCCCCGTCCCTGGCTCCTGGTTTTGCGCCCAGAGCCCGGTCACGGGCAGTGCCCTCTCCCGCGCCCAGAGTTCGACCGCCACGAGCTGCTCATCTACGAGGAGGTGGCGCGAGTGCCCCCGTTCCGCCGGAAAACCCTGGTGCTGATCGGGGCGCAGGGCGTGGGCCGGCGCTGCCTGAAGAACAAGCTGCTGCTGTGGGACCCGGATCGCTACGGCACCACGGTGCCCTGTGAGTGCGCGGCCGGGCGGCGGGCGCCCCCTGCGGGCGGGGAGGGCGAGCCCGAGGCCGAGGGCAGGGGCGGGCGCGTCCCACGGCCCTGGCGCTTCTCCCAGACACGTCGCGGCGGCCCAAGGACTCGGAGCGGGAAGGCCAGGGCTACAGCTTCGTGTCCCGCGGGGAGATGGAGGCGGACATCCGCGCCGGGCGCTACCTGGAGCACGGCGAGTACGAGGGCAACCTGTACGGCACGCGCGTGGACTCCATCCGCGGCGTGGTGGCCTCCGGCAAGGTGTGCGTGCTGGACGTCAACCCCCAGGTCCGCGCCCGGCCCGGCCCGGCCCCGCGCCCCGGCGCCCTCCGCGTCCCGGCCGAGCGGGGCGCACTCCCTGCTCCCCTCTCCTGCAGGCCGTGAAGGTGCTACGGACGGCTGAGTTCGTCCCGTACGTGGTGTTCATCGAGGCCCCAGACTTCGAGACCCTGCGCGCCATGAACCGGGCGGCGCTGGAGAGCGGGGTGTCCACCAAGCAGCTCACGGTGCGGCCCGGGGGGAGGGGGCGCCGCCCGGGCTCCGCGGTCCCCAGGTGAGGCCGGCGAGGCCCCAGGCCCTGACGGGGCGTCCCCTTCCGGCAGGAGGCGGACCTGCGGCGCACGGTGGAGGAAAGCGGCCGCATCCAGCGCGGCTACGGGCACTACTTCGACCTCAGCCTGGTGAACAGCAACCTGGACAGGACCTTCCGCGAGCTGCAGGCCGCCATGGACAAGCTGCGCACCGAGCCGCAGTGGGTGCCCGTCAGCTGGGTGTACTGAGCCCGGCCCGGCCCCGGCCGGTGGGGTGCACAGGCCCTGCTGGAGCTGGGCGTTCATGGGGCGCGTCCATGCCCAGGTGCTGCCCACCCCCGTGCCCTCTGGCCGCCAGGTGTCCCTCCTGGGCCAGGCGGGACCGGGGAGGGCCTCAGAGTCACCTCCATAGTGTTCAGGCCACAGAGGAAACTGTTCCGGGTCCCACGGCTGGTCGATCGCTCTGGCCACCTCTCCCGGCCGCCTGACCCCTTGTGTCCCCCACTCCTGGCTTTGATGCCTGAGCTTCCAGTCCTGGGAGCGAGCTATCCCCATGGGCACAGGAGTGGGTGCCCCCTTCACCCCCAGCTCTCACTGCCGAGCCCTCTCCTGAGTCTCCCGATCCCTGGTGGGAAGAGGGCAGACAGCCCTGCCTCCTGTCCCTGACCTCTGCCTGTCCTGGCCTGGAAATGCCGGGGCACTTGGCAGCTCCTGCACCCCAGCCTCAGCCATCACCTGTGGCACCCTGCCGAGCACCTGGACCCTGGGGTGCGGGGCTTGGTGAGGACAAAGGGAGTTTCCTTTGGGGGGCCTCTCGGGGGGGGGGCTTCGGAGAGACCCTCGTTCCAGATGCCCAGCGTGGCCCTCTAGGATGTGTCTCTCCCCTTCCTGTTGTCCCCCACCGGATGTCACCCCCAGGCCTCGGGAGGGCCCTTTGATAAAGTAGGAGAACCCCCTTCGTGAAGGAAGTCCCGTCTCAGGTGTCCCCAGAGTTCACAGCCCTTCCCCTCGCCCTCAGTCCTCCCAAGGTGAGCCTGTGCTCCCAGGGGTCCCTGGGATGCCCCCACCCTGCGCTCACGCTCACAGGGAACCCCTGGACAGCCTGCCCCGGGCTCTAGGAGATGCCCCCAGCCTCTTAGGGGCCTCCGCAGGACACTCCACCCCAGCCTCACAGGAGGTCCCTAGGACCCCCAACCTGTCCTCGTCCTGTCCCCTCAGGGGTGGCCCCAGGACACCCATCTGTGCTCACAAGGGTCCCTGTGTCCCCACAGCCCTGTGCCTCCCGCCCCTCTGAGAATCCAGTCATCTCTGCCACAGCGTCAGCTGGAGCTGGCCCTGAACCACTGTCCTGGGGAGGGAGGGAGAACAGAGTATGTATCACATGTCAGAGACACGTTTATCCTCGTAGGACTCCCACTGGTTCATGGCCTCCAAGCCCTCACCCCTTGGCTCCACACCCACTGTGCGGTGCCCTTCACCCCCTCTTCCCGGCCTTGGGGTGCTCCTGGCATCACCCCAGCCTGCAGGGGCGGGTTGGGGGGCGCCATGTCACTCGCAGTCCCCTTCCTGGAAGGACCCCCCCTCTCCGCTAACCTTAGAACCCCGCCCAAGTAGAGGGATGGAGCAGACCTGCTCCTCGCCTGCCGAGACCGACCCCAAGGGCAGGAGCCCCTCTACCTCCCTGCTGCGCCCCGCCTGGTGCCTGACAGGTGTGGGCCCAGGCTGGCTCCGAGACTCCACCCTCGGCCACAGTGCTCGATTCCTGACAGGCTTTCTTTGTTTCCCTTTGATTAAACGTGAAAGTGAATGCTGGGCCCTGTTGTCTGTGCCAGGCCGGGGAACAGCTGTGGGGCCACTGAGGGCCAGGACAGAGATAGGGCCTCCACAGGGGAGGCTGGCTTGCTGTCGTTTCCTGTGCGCCCTTGGTCCCTGTCCCGCCCCCCAAGCTGCTCCCAGAGGCTGTGCCAGGAGTGAGACCTGGGGCTGGATGGACTCCAGCCCCGCCTGACCTGGGTGGGCCCGCTGGGCACCGGAGGCCTGGGGCAGTCGTGCCGTGCTGGGCTCTAACCTGCCCTGTGAAGGTGCCACACGCCCCAGTGCTAGGACTGGAACCGGCTCCAGCTCGTAGGTGACATCAGGGTGTCGTCTAGATGCCACTGCAGGGGGTTGTGATGAACCCTCACTGAAGCGTGCGGGGAGCCCGGATCCTTATAGACTCCTGGGGTGGGGCCTTGGCCACAGGTGGACCCCTCCTCTTCCTCAATTTCCCCAAAATGCAGCTCTCAGAGCTGCCAGAGAGCGGCCTGGCCGGGGACTGGAGGCCGCATGGGGCTGTCAGGCCCCTCTTCAATGATGAGACCCAGCTGCCTGGAAGAGCCCCAGGCCCCTGCCTCCCAGCTCAGGCTGGTGCTCTGTGCTGTCACTCCTGGACTGCGTCTGTCTCCGTGACTCCAGAGATGGCGTTCCGCTGCAACTCCCAGGAGCTCCACACCACATCTGTCCTGGTCTGGGGTCCTCACCCCTGTCTGCGCATTAGACTCACATGGGGACCCACGCTAGGTCAGCTAATGAGCGTTCAGAACTTACACTGACAAAGTTGGCCTGGTTTGGGGTGTGTCTTGGTGATAGTGGCCTATGTGCCAACAGATGAGTGAATGCAGAGGCTGTGGCATCTCCGCACAGTGGGGTGCTACTCTGGCATGAAGAAGGATGGACTTGGGTCGTTTGATGCCTCTTGAGACCACAACATTAAGTGAAATAAATCAGAAACAAAAGCTTACACATGGTTTCTCTTCTATGAGAAACCCAAAGTATAAATGTAGGGAACAGGGGACGGGGACGTTACCAGAACCTCTGCAGTAAGTCCTAGTCTCCTGTGAGCCAAGGCAGCACACGGTGAATTACAGGAAAGGTAGACAAATGAGAGGAATCTGAGCTTTGGGTCTGATCAGTGCTGCTCTGGGCAGCAAAGACAAAAGACCCCCCTAGCTTGCAGCACCTTTTATTCAGTACATGGGGAAACAGATGTAAGAAGTGAAATGCAGAGTTCAGTGCTTCACATTGGGATAAACAAGGTGTAACAAACGACTGGGGGCAGTGGAAATCTGAGAACAATGAGGAACTATGCAGACGAAGATTTGGTTCCTCCTTGGCGTCTCCCACAGGTGTGGTCTTGTCCTGGAGATTGCAGCATCTGGGGGGAATCACTGAGGTCTCAGTTTTGACCAGAGGCCAAAATGCAATTATGTCTGGATTGTTGTAGCTGGCCTGTAGACAGGAGAACTAGGCCTACTCAAATGATTTTTCCCTAGAATTATGTAGCATTGGTCCCAATAATTTAAGGAGCAAAATAAAAGATAATTGGAAATGGAGATAGCTCTTTTGCAAATGGGAAGGTTCGAGAGATGGAAGGAGGGGAGAGGATGGATCGAGGAAGGGAAATAAAAAGAATTAAGACATGTTCTGTGTGTCTACCAATTCTCAGCTGGGCATGGTGGTGCATGCCCATCATCCCAGCACTCTGGAGGCTGGAACAGGAGGATCACTGCAAGTTCAAAGCCAGCCTGGGCTATATAGTGAGACCCTGTCTCAGAAAAACAAAACATACCAACCGCCTGGGATGAATGCAATCATGTGCCACAAACATACTAATAAACACTTAGAGGGGCCAGAGGTTTAGCTCAGTGGCTTCACCGCCTGCTGTGCAAGCAAAAAGACCCAAGTTTGATTCCCAGTACCAAAAACAAAACAAAACAAAAACTTAGCAATCAACAAAAATTTGAACAGGCATTTTAACAAAGACAGAATGCCAAGCACCTGGAGAGGTGGTGGGAGCCATCGGTCACTGTAGGAATACAAATGACAGCTACGATTCTGGCACAATTTATACCTAGAAGGATGCTTAAAAAGACTGTCATAAAAATGAAGACAAACAAACATATCTCAAAGCTGGGTGTGGAGGTGCACACTTGCAATCCCAGCACTCAGGAGGCAGAGGCAGGGGGATCACAAGTTCAAGTCCAGCCTGGGCAACTTAGCAAGACCCTGTCTCAAAAACAACAAAAAACTCATCACCAACAAAATAGTTTGACTATGGGGCTGGGATGTAGCTCAGTGGTTCTGCCGCCTGCCTCGAAAGCCTAAAGTCCCAAGTTTGATTCCCGGTACCAAAAAAAAAAGATCGATTATGTAGCTCAGTGTAAAGGCCTTAAACCCAATCTCCAGTAACACACACACACACACACACACACACACACACACACACACACAAATGAACCAGAAGATCACACCTGCGAAATAGCAGGAGGTGACAGAGCAGAAGGCTTTGGGATCCACGTGCTGTCTGGGAAGCATGAAAGGGGATGAAGATGCCAGCAGCCTTCCTCACCAAGGGTTTGGCAGCCGCTAATGTGGCTCCCCGGATCCAGCCAACCACAGAGCGAAAGAATGTGAACACTGCAGGGACCGAACTCTCGCCGAGCTTTTGTCCCCTAAACAATACAGCACAGACGTTCGCGTCAGTGTTTGCCTGGTGCTGGGAACTGAGCCCCTCGGAGCAGACCGAGCACGTGGGCCCCGTGAGGGTTGGGTGCGTGCCGTGCTAGTTTATGGTGGGCCTGGGCATGCGTGGAGTTGTGGGTTCACAGGCAGCCCCAGTACTGGCCCCCACAGTACCCAGAGACAGCTGTATCAACCCCAGCCGCTGTTAAGGATGCAAAAATTAGAAATAGAGGGTAAAGCTGGGTGTGGTGGCGTACACCTGTGACCCCAGCACTGGGGAGGCTGAGGCAGGAGGATCGCCACGAGTTCAAGGCCAGCCTGGGCTGCAGAATGAGACCCTGTCTCAAAAAAGAAGAGCTAGAAAGCAGACCCTTCATACTGCAGGTGGAGAAAGAATGATGTGAAAGATGAGCAAAACCTAATTTTAACACGGCAAGCGCGGAGACAGAAACAGAGGTGTTCCTCTGCATCCACACAGCCCTGGCTGAGAGGCTGCCTTGCATGGGCCGGGCTGTGCTTCTCCCAGGGTGGGCATGATGACCCTCAACCACAGGCGGGGCTCCGCCTTCCTTGCTGATCTTCCCTCTGGCTGCCCCTCCTCTGATCCTTGTGGTGAACTCCCAGAATCTCCTTCGTGGCCCAGGGATCAGAACTGCAGCGTCAGCGCCTCAGCCAGGAGCCCGCGCTCCTCCCTCCAGCGCGCAGGTGGAGGTGTGGAGGTGTGGATTCCCACTCACCTGCATCCAGATCAGAGAGAGGAACAAGTCAGCTGGCGGCCAGGCTGCTCCCCAGGGCCTGGAGGAAGCTCTTGGCTTGCAGCTGGGCAACAGCTTCTCTTCCAAGTCCTCATTTTGTTTTATTTTTCATTTATTTATTTATCTGGTGCCAGAGATCAAACTCGGGACCTTCCGCTTGCCAGGCAGGTGGCAGAACCACTGAGCTACATCCCCAACCCTGTACACACCCACTTTACTTTGTGGTTTGTTTTTTTTTTGAGATCTTGCTATGTAGCCCAGGCTGGCCTTGAATTTATAATCCTCCTGCCTCAGCCTCCGAGTGCTGGGATTACAGGCCTGCACTACTGCGCCCACGTTAGAACTGTTTTTGCTGTGACTTCTGTGGCCTTGCTTATTTTCCGTTAGGGTTGGCACAGGTGAGTCCTGCTTAACCCTGACAGTTTCTGCCCATAGTCCGAGTGTTTCTCTCTTCTCAGAGGACGCTGCTAGTTAACCACTGGGGGCATGGTCCCTTGGGGCTGGGTTAGCTCTCCTGCTGACCAGTCACCCAAAGTGACGGAGCGTCCAAGTCAGTGTTACAAAACCCTCTGTAGCCAAATGTGAGCAACAACATGAGTTTAGGAAGAGCAGTCCTTGGGGTAAGTTTCCCCAATCTGTGTTAGGTTTAATCTCACCGTTCTGGCCGGGGACTTAGCTCAGTGGTGCTACCACCTGCCTTGCAAGTGAAAGGTCCAAAGTTCGATCCCTGGTACCAAAAAAAATTCAATGTCATCTCACCGTTCTGCAGGTGATTGGACCTTGAAACATGAGAATCTGGGTAGCAGGAGTTACAAACTTACTAGGAAATTGTGAAAGAGAGCTAAGCAAATGCAGTCCGTGTAGTAGAGTTGAACTGAGAAACATGACCCTCTTGGCCCTTCCAGTTTTCAAAAAGGGGAACCAGTGTGAATGGCACCGGGTGGAAGAGCCGACGTGCTGCTGCTCCTGGGCCTGCGGGGACCGCTCCTCGCCAGCCTCCCAGCCTCCACTTCCTTGCCTCCCTGTCCCAGGCCTGAGCCACCTCGGGTCCAGAGAAGCAGGGGCTGGAGAGGGCCCTGGAGGAGGCTGGCGGTGACAGGGCCCGGCTCAGGCTGCAGCCGCCTTCTCTCCAGTTAGACCTTGGGCCCCGGCTGTTTATCCCGGGACGGAGCCCAGGGGCCGCTCCAAGACCCGGGCCGGCTCCCCGCGGCCCTCCCCGCTGCCCGACGGGAGCGCTGGGCCAAGGAGGCGCTGCTGTCCACCTCAGGTGAGCTGCTGTCCTCCACCAGGCCCTTCTGCCATGCCAAGGCCACACAAGGCCTGAAAGTGCTGACCCTGGGCCACAACAAACCTCTCCTCCTCCAGCTGCAGGTGTCAGGTATTTTGTCCCAGGAACGAGGAAAGTGACTAAGACACAGACTGCAAGCATTAAGGCCTCTTTACCCACTATGCACATAGATATGTTGTCACCTCTTAAATGTGCCCTGCACTACGATGTGGCGTTTAGCTGTTAAGGACGGTGGCCTGAGACTTCTCTGTGACACGGCCGGGC